CCCTCCTCCTCCTCGACATGGACCCCCGGACCTCCGACGCCTCGATTCCAGCCAGGCACGCCCCCCCCCCCTCCGACCCCCCGGGACCGTTTCTTGTTCCTGCTCCCGAGCCTATATGTTGCTTCCATCATACTGAAGAACCACATCCCAGAAATGAATTCGAGCACTCAGAGTAGTATCGAAACAGTGTCGAACGGGCATCGCCTCCGAGGGCCCGACACGTGGAACGCCTGAAATTTCTGTACTTCCTTGGTGCCTCGAAATTATTTCTGGTGGTCAAGGCTGAAGTAGGTTGGAGCATCATAACACGAGCCGGTTTTTGACGGCCCCGAGGCCGGCAAGGGCCACGAGAGGCCAAGAGCTGTGAAACACCTCCGCCTCGACTGTGAGCGTTTTCTTATCCAGCGGTTCGGCACTGTGCGGAACAGGCGGGGGGAAAGGGGGGTGTCTGGCTAGTGCCGGGAGGCTCCACATGCTCGAAGCAGGGGCCAAAAAACAGCCGAGATCCACTCCATGGAGGGGGGGGACGGGGGGTGCGAGGGCCCGCGCCGATCGGCAAAACAGTGAAAAGAGAACGACCGCATTTTGCCGAGGCGCCAGGAGGAGGAGGAGGAGGTGGAGGAGGAGGAGGAGGAGGAGACGGAGGGAACGAGAGGGAGGAGGGCGGCAGGAGGAGGAGGAGGAGGTGGAGAGGAGGAGGGGAGGAGGAGGCGGAGGAGAAGGATAAGGTGAACGAGCAGCAGGAAGAGGAGAGGAGGAGGAGGATGAGGAGGAGGAGGCGGAGGCGACGAAGGACGAGAGGGAGGAGGAGGAGGAGGAGGAGGAGGAGGAGCGGGGAGGAGGAGGAGGAGCCGAAGAGAGGAGGAGGAGGGAGGAGGAGGAGGAGGAAGCAGAAAGAGAGGAGGCGGAGGAAGGAGGAGGAGGGGCGGAGGAGGAGGAGGGGGAGGAGGAGGAGGAGGAGGAGGAGGCGGAGGAGGAGGAGGCGCCGGCGGAGGAGGATGGAGGGAGGAGGAGGAGGAGGAGAGGAGGAGGAGGAGAAGGCAAAGAGAGCAGGAGTGAGGAGGAGGAGGAGGAGGGGAGGAGGAGAGGAGAGACGAGGCGAGAGGGCGGAGGAGGAGGAGGAGGAGGAGGAGGAGGAGGAGGAGGAGGAGGAGGAGGGGAGTGAGAGGAGAGGGGAGGAGGGAAGGAGGAGGAGGAATTAAAAAAGCAGCAGGAGGGAGGAGGAGGAGGAGGAGGGGGAGGAGGCGGGAGGAGGCGGAGGAGGAGGAAGGAAGGGGGAGGAGAGGAGCTGGGCGCCCGCTCGCCGCTCGTCGAGGGCCCCTTTTTCTTTCGCCATCGCTGGGGGCCTGGCCCTGGCCTTCTCGCCCGCGCCCGCGAGGACCAGCAGCTCCACGGCGGACACGCTGACCTCCCAGTCCTGGCCAGCTTCGATCCTCCACCTACTCCTCGCCCTCCGCCTCCTCCTCCTCCTCCTCCTCCCCTAGCCACACCACCACCACACCACCCCACCACCACACACTACCACCACCACCACCACCACCACCACCACCCACCACACTTCCTTCAACTTCTCATCATCATCTCATCATCATATCATTCATTTTCATTCATCATCATACATCATATCATCATCTCATCATATCCTCAGCATCAAGCATCATCATCATCATCATCCTCATCATCATCATATCATTCATCATCATCCTCATCATCATCATCTATTATCATCACCTACACCATCACCATCACCATCTCACATCCCCATCATCATCTCACCACCACCATCATCATCATCCCACCCACCACATTATCATCATCTCCTCATCGTCGCCTACAGTCCGTCGATCATCTCATCATCATCATCGTCGCCGTCATCATTCAACTCATCATCATCATCGCGTCGTCATCATCATATCTATCATCAGCAAGAGCAGCACCATAAGCGCACATCATCATCATTCATCATCCATATCGTCATCATCATCATCATATCAATCATCATTCATCATCATCCTCCTCATCCTCATCCTCCTCCTCATCCTCATCATCTATCATCATCATCATCATCATCCCCAACATCCTTCATCATCATCCAACATCATCATCATCACCATCATCCATCATCATCACTTTTTTTTTTCCCCCACCACAAAAATTTTTTTTTTTCTCATCATCATCAATCACATCATCATCATCATCCTCAATCACCATCCCCATCCATCATCATCATCATCATCATCTTCACGGCATCCATTCTCACTCATCACCATCACCATCACCATCACCATCACATCATCAACATATCATCATCATCATCATCATCATCATCAACATAATCATCATCACCCGTCCCTACCCAGACATCGGGCGTCTCCAAAAATCGAGGCGAAGGTTTTTCGTCGTTTTCGGTCTCTCGGGGCCCTCGCCGGGCCTTGGGACCGTCAGAAAACGACTCGGGTCGGAAAACTGGTCCCGGGGAAGTGGTCGGGGGGTCGGGGGCCCGTGTCTCGAAAGAATCGAGACGTCGGATGTCTGGGACCCCGTGCCCCTACCCAGACATCGGGCGTCTCAAATATTAACCTGGCGAAAGACCCAACCATAAGCAGTGGTACGTACCGCAGTTGTGAGTACCAGGTTCGGTGGATACTGCTATGCGGCCACGAACCACTTGAGGGGCGTGCCGAAATGGCCCGTCAGCGGCAAGCAGCCTTTTCCACTGGGGCTTTCGGTGGAGCTCCATATGGGGCCACGAAACGCGCCAGGGGTGCGCCAAAATGTGGGATGGAACCGTGTGCGGGCGCTGCCACTGGGGGCTCAGGTGGAGCACCCTGTGGGGCCACGGAACGCGTGAGAGGTTCGCCGAAACTAGGGGGTGGAAGCGCATGTGAACGCAGTCACTGGAGCCTCCGGTGGAGATCCCTATGGGGCCACGGAGCGTGTGAGAGGAGTGCCGACATGGCAAGGTGGCGGTGATTATGCTGGCCCTGTCACTGGGGCCTTCGGTGGAGCTCTCTAGAGGGCTACGATACGTGTGACTGGTGTGCCGAGACTGCGAGGTGGCGGCATGCTGGCCCTGCCACTGGGGCCTTCGGTGGAGCTCCTTATGGGGCCACGAAAAATTTGAGGGGTGTGCCGACATGGCGAGGTGGTGGCCTGCAGGCCCTGCGACTGGTCCTTCGGTGGAGCTCCCTGTGGGGCTACGAAACGTGTGAGAGGTGTGCTGAAATGGCGTGGTGGCGGCATGCGGGCCCTGCCACTGGGTCCTTCGGTGGACCTCCCTAGAGCTCCCTGTGGGGCCACGAAGCATGTGAGGGGTGCGGCGAAACAGAGACATGTGAAGAGCAGAGGCGAGCATTGGGGAGGTAGGAGTGGGAGGAGGAGAGGATCGGATCGGATCGGATCGGATCTGAGGAGAGGAGAGGAGAGGAGAGGAGAGGAGAGGAGAGGAGAGAAGAGGAGAGGAAGAACGCGGGGCGCTGTCTCTTCCAAACGAGGACCCAACGCCACAGGATAGTTTGGAACAAATCGTGGCGAAGATTTTTCGTAGTTTTCGGCCTCTCGGGGCCCTCGCTGGGCCTCGGGACCGTCCAAGAGAACGACTCGGGATGAAAAGCTGGTCCCGAGGAAGTGGTCGGGGGCCCGTGTCTCGAACAAATCGAGACGCCGGATGTCTGGGTAGATGTGAAAAGCCCCAAAGCGATGACAACCTCAGGACTGCGCCCTCAGAGACTGAAGGGGAATCCTAAAGATCGGCGGCATCGAGACCGAGTGGGCGACGCACCAGACTGTGTCTTACGCACTCGACTGTGTCTTACGCACTTTGACTTACGCGGTGGCTGGGGCCGGCCGTCAGCGCGGTTCGCAACGTTGGAAAAGGACGGGGCTCACGCACGACTCTACGCGGGACGCTCACGCGCAAATGCCGGTGAAGACGACCCCGTTTGTCTGCGTCGCTCAAGCGATGCCCATCACAGGGGTAGCTTGGACGCCCGAAATGGGGACGGAAAAAATTGCACAATGCCGAACAACAAGTGTTGTCCAACACCGACAGCGGCCGCTGTTGGGCAGGCGGCTGTTTGTCTTCAGTGCGCAACGTTCGCGGCGGTGCGGAGAACGACTCCTGTTCAAAACGAGCAGGAACGGCTGTTGGACACTGTACCCACTCGTACCTTACCCATTTCGGTCGTCCCGAGATAGGGATCTGTTCCAGGCTGGTGGAAGAGTCCCCAGCGAAGAGGCCGAGCCAGAACGCGCTGCCCTCGGCGGGCGAGGAGGCCGCCGTCAGCGCCGTCCCCGAGCGGCGCATCGCCAGGGTGGGCGACGACTCCTGCGCGGCGTACTCCTGTCGGCGGCGGGCCCGATGGGCCCGCCGCCGGCAGGGTGGGAAAAGGATGAGGAGGAGGAGGAGGGAAGGGGGGAGGAGGAGGAGGAGGAGGAGGAGGAGGAGGGGAGGAGGAGGAGAAGGAGAAGGAGAAGGAAGAGGAGGAGGAGGAAAGAGAGGAGGCCCGTCGGGAGAAGCTCGGGACTTTCGCGATCGAACTGCGATGTGTGCGGGTGTGTTCGTAAATTTTCCTCGGTTTTCCGGCCTCGGGATGCATATTCCAGTGGTGCGCGTCGCCGAGAGCGTCCCGGGGGTGTCCTGAGCTTTCTGGACGGCCACGGGGGAACTGAGTTATGAACCGAAAATCACCTGACGTCCGAAATGCGGAGGAGCTCACGTTCATTTTTTGGAAGTCGCATAACGCGCGTTATGTGGCTGGATGGGTGGGTGGGTCCGCTGGCTCATGCCATAACACGTTGCGCGCGCACTGCGAACAGCATACCTGCGCGCCAAGCAACAGGCGTTTTTGCAACGGGGGTGGGTGAAGCGGAGGGCGTTATGTTATCTACTGGGTGGGTGGGTGGGTTGGAAGCCACATGACGCGCGTGATGTGCTCGAGTAAGAAAAACTTCAGCTCGAGCAAGGGTCGTTCTCCTTTTTTCCCTGGGTCCCACAGCGGCGGCGTGGCGGCAACAACGATCACAGATGGAAGCGTCTTTGTGGTCGTTCGCTACCGTTAACAGCTCTACCTCAAGCGGGCCCGATGCAAAACAGCAGCGGCGCGCGAAAAAAAATCATGGGTAAGTGAAATGGAAGCAACGAAGAGGGCCAAACTAGAGCTGAAGTCCACACGGACAATAGATTGCTGCAAATCGAAACCCCGCACGACCTCAACCAACACAGCTTCGTTAGCGGAGCGCAAACGAAAAGGCCGAGCTCGCTAACCATGCGCAGCTCAGGCCACAAATCCTCAGTCCCAGGCTTGGCGGAAACACCTCCGACACCGCACACGCAGAAGGTTCCAGGACAAAGGCCTCGAAGGAATAAACGCAAACGCGTTAGAAGTCCAGGAGAAAACGCCCCCATGACCAAGCACACTTTACTCCCCTTTCTAAAAAGAGAATAGACTCTACCCCCCCGGCGTTATCGACCCCCCTTTCAGGTATGTAAATCATATATGATTCTGACCACATGTCCATCCTAAATATGAATTTACACTATCCCAGAGGGGGCCGTTATCGACCCCCCTGAGGTTCCCCTGTAGAAAAAAACACTACGCGGGAACATCTTTTGTTCTAACATAGCACTTTTTCGCGAATCCCTTGCAAAAAACGGGACGAAGTGTACACGCGCGCGCCGTCGCGCGCGCATGCCGAAATCCTCCGACAAACCTTCGGTGTCGGAAAGATTTCGCAATCGAGTTCCTCCCGCGTCGTCGTCCTCGTCGTCGCCTACGTCGTCCTCTGTCTTTCCTCGTGTTCGTCGTCGTCGACCTCGTTGGCGTCGTGGTCGTTTCCGTCGTCGTTGTCGCCGTGGTCGTCCTTCCTCCTCCTCCCTCGTCGTTGTCGTCCGTTGTCGGCGTCTTGCCGTCCCTCCTATTTCGTCGCCGTCGTCGTCGTCGTCGTCGTTGTCGTCGTCGTCGTTTTCCTGCCTGCCTCGTCGTTGTCGTCGTCGGCGTCGCCGCCCGTCCTCCTTTTTCGTCGTTCGCGTCGTCGCCGTCCTCCCTCCTCCCTCGTCGTTGTCGTCGTTGTCGTAATTGTCGCCGTCGTCGTCCTCCCTCCTCCCTCGTCGTCGTCTTCGTTGGCGACGTCGTTGTCGTCGTCGTCGTCGTTGTCTTCGTCGTCGTCGTCGTCGGCGTCGTCGTCGTCGGCGTCGTCGGCGTCGTCGTCATCGTCGTCGTCGTCGGCGTCGTCGTCGTCGGTGTCGTCGTCGTGGTCGCTGTCGTCGTCGAAGTCGTTGGAGTCGTCGTCGGTGTCGTCGTCGTCGGTGTCGGCGGCGCCGTCGTCGTCGTCGTCGGTGTCGTCGTCGGTGTCGTGGCCAAGTGTCTTCTGATACCTACCGTCACGGTCTTGTCTTAAGAGGTCTTGTGACCAAGTTGCGGATGGGAGGGTGAGATGTTTGCACGAGCAGTGGAGAGGACAGTTTCAAGACGGTCAAAGTAAATACACATAGATGTAAGCACAGATACGTCATATAGTTCATATAACAATGAAACGACAGAAGGGCAGCTGCTACCCTTGCTGTATGAAGTGTGGTCGAAGCTGGATCTCGTAAGCACTCAGGATGAGCTAAGCGTCAACCTGTATCCCTGATCACCACCAGCTGCAAAGCTCGATTCGAACTTGCCCTGTCCCGCAAACTCCTTCGTTTTCTTCTCCCACTAAGTCCCGGCCTCGAAAATTTGACCAACTTTTCCGAGAATTCGATCCTCCAGGCCCCGCGCTCGCGAAGGTCTCACACAAGTGGTCCACCGGCATGTCTTCCGTGAGGCAATCCGAAAACATGTTGGTGCCGTCAGTCCACCGCGCTTTCATTCGGCGCCGATCAAGAATCTCGCGTCTACTGGCGAACTCTAACTTAATGACCTTATGGGTTGCAAATCCTACGCCGCCACGCCCACCAGTGGCACGCGTCAACCAGACAACTCGAGACCAGATCCTCGCGGAACTGGGTCACGCAACATCTCGGCGACCCGATCTCGGCATCCTTATGCTACGTCAAATCCACCACCTGCGCGCACCATCGCAAGTCGAAATCATTCGCGCAGTTCGTCCAAGCTTACGACGCTTTGCACACAGCAATGAAAGCCGACCGAGCTAGCCCCGCAGCAGGTCACGGTCGCCCCAGAGGATCAAGAAGCCACCCAATGCACCGATCTTCTTCGTCGCAGGGTCTACCGTCACTTTCGTCCCGTCTGGCATCCCGTTCCCAAGTGAGCTGTCCGCCACATAGAGTAGCCGCCAGTCTCGAGGTCGGCGCGCTTCTCCTGGCTGCGAACTTGGGGCGCTTCTTCTGCTCGGGCGCGGCACTGTTCGCCTTGGGCAGGGCTCCGTTTCCCGGTCCGCCCATGCGGCCCATCTCGCGCTGCAACACTGCCCGGTCGTTGGCGCAATTTGCCCTCGGATTCGTCGCGGGCCATCTGATCTCCGCGGCAATCTGCCGGGGCTGCTTGGGATCACTGGGCGCCATGGTCGATGCTGGCCCCTGCCACCTGCGACGCGGCGCGGCTACAGCTGCCAAACCCATCGTTTACTCCATCACGTATCATGTCACCCATGAGATCGCCTCTCTCGTCTCGCTTGACATGCTTGCCACAGAATGCGAAATTGTCCTTCTCCTCGGACACGGAGCAGAAATTCGTCCCGAGATGGCCCATCAGGCGGGCCAACCTCTCGTTGCCCGCCTGGAGGACGTCGTCGACGCGAACGCAAAAACGTCGCCGATCGCTCGGTCGCCAATGGATCCAGCCCCATCTTCTTCGCCTCAATTATCACCTTCGAGCGCCACAGCCGAGGCGCCGTCGGCAAGCCAAAACCTCCCATCAGCATTCTAACCAGGTGGCCACGACGAAATAATGGCATTTCAGGTCAAGCTCGCGGCGGCTTGACCACCCCTCTGCGCCTGCCCGCCCCCCCTTCAAGCAAGCGCTTTTCGCGTCCTTGGGTCCGAATTTCCAGTCCTGGCGACTCGCCGCCACTTGGCCCGAAATCATCGCCGACTGCGTAGTAGCACACGGCGCGCCCGCTCTCGCGTTGTCGTTCTCGTCGGATCTACCGGGGTCGCCGCAGCTCGCCGCGAGCCTAGCGTTCTCCTTCGCAGCCGAATGAATATTCTCGGTGCGAAGTTGATCGCGCTCGTCCGTCGTCGCCCACCTGGCGCTCATGGCGTTGTCCCATCTCCAACTCTCGCGCAACTTCTTCTCCCGCTTCGCCGGCTCATTCGGTTCGAGCACTTTTTTCGGAACTGTCGGTGGTCCTCGTCCCCCACTGGTCCACGGTTGCCTTCTGATTCTCTTCCTGCTCTACTGGGCCCATCCGATCCCAAGCCTTCTCCATTCGCGCGTGCCTTTTAACAAATAATTTGTTCGCCCTAGTGCCCTAGTGCCACCGTTATCTTCCGTTCTGCAAGAACCCGCCGCGCTCGCTTCCTGGGGCGCGCCGCGCCCAGCTTCGCACTGCAAAAGCCGCAGCCCGGGTCGGCGCGCGCGCGTCGGGCGTCGGCGCCGACGGCGGCGCTGACGGCGCCATGCGCCCACCTGGTCCGACAAGTCCTGACCAGAGATCTCTCAGTGGCGGACGCGGTGCTCTCCCCGACGATCCGACCCCAGCTTCCCAGGCATTTCGCTCGGCCCCCCTCTGTCACAGGGGGCGTCTCCTTCACGCTCGCCGGTGCGCGCGGTGGCGCGCGATCTCGCAGCTCCAAAGTCGACGTCGCCCACGCGTCGGCGTCCGTTCCTTCAGGTAGGCCTTCGGCGACTTCCCAGGCCTCCGCTTGCGTTGCGCACCAATGAGGATCCCCGCGTCTTCCCCCCGATCGGGCAATCGTCGCGCTGGTCTCCCACTACTTAGGAGTCTGCATACTGGCGCCCGCAGGCGCCCGCTTCCTCGGTGGACGCCGGGCTGCTACTGCGACTTGCCGCGGCGATCTCCGCGACGGCCGCCGCCGATCTCATGCCCATCGCGCGCTACTGTTCCTCCAATATGGGGCCCGTGTCGCCCTGCGCGTCGCCGTGATCCAAAATCTCCGCCTCGTGCTCTCTGGCCGGTCGCCCAGCATCCCGTCGGGCGCCGCCGGCGGCTCGTCCTCCGCCTCTGGATGCCTGAATTCGCATTCCCCGTGCATGCCGATTCCTGGTGGCGTCGCCCATGGATGCCTCCTCCTTGCTCGCGAGGTCGAAAGCCTCTTTCGCGCCGAGACCTGAGTGCTTCGTCGGGCGAAGCCCTGCGCGCCAACGCTGGGTCAGACTATAGTAAATTCCGCCGCGGGACACGTAGTGCGCACTGCTCTCGACGCCGATCCCG